GCCATGGCTGCCGGCGGTGGCGTCGCTTCCAGCGAAACGCTGCGTTACGCCGAGTACTCGCAGCCCAAGGGGAAACTGCCGGACGCCGAACTCGACCACCGACTGGTGAGTCCGACCTCGCCCGTGCGGCTCTGTACCCTTTCCGACTTTGTACTCCCCGCGTCCTTTCTCTGTCCCACTCCGGCCGCTCCTCTGTTAGGCGCAGAGCCTGCTCCGCGGGGCTCTGGGGACGAGGCGTGGAAGACGGCCTTTCTGAGGGTCTCTGTCTCCGCAAGGAGCTTCCAGTCTTGTCGCGGACAGACAGACCAGAAGACCCGCCGCCGCAGAGGCAAGATACTGAGTGCTGTGGGCTGGATTATCCTTTCGTGTCGGAGACTCGAATCGGGTCCTGCAGGGGATATGGTAGAGACCCAGGACTCCTCTTGGGGGAAAGCGGTGGTTAAAAACCACCATCTGAAGAATCCGCCAAAACAGCCACCCAGGGGAAAGAAGAGCGCACAGTGCTTTAGTTAATGGCTGGGAAGTCTGGGGCAGATGAACTGTCCAATCAGAAGGGCAAGTAGTTTATTCACGTTGCAAGTTAGAGCTGGGAAAGAAGAGGAGTGTCCAATCGAAACAATGCAAGTCACATATGTATTTTTAAGTTTTTTTGGAAACATTTATTTTTTGCTTTATTTTTAAACTCATGCATAAAAAGTAAAATCAATATTTATGGGGTATCGTCTGATGTTTCCATACATGTATACGTTGTGTAATGTTTAAGTCGGCGTAAGCAAATTTGTCTCCTCAAACATTTACCATTCTTTTACGGGGGAAAAACATTCAAGATCTTTTCTTTCACTCTACTGTGCAATGGCACATCAGAACTTCTATCTGTATCTGTCCTGTAACTTAGTACCCATGGACCTCTGCCCATCCCTGCTGTCCCCAGCTTGTGTTAACCAGCATTCTACTCTTAAACTCTATGAGATCAAGTCGTTTATATTTTCACGTAGGAGTGAGACCTTATGGACTTGACTTTCTTGTGCTTGCTTTATTTCGTTTAACATAATGATCTCCATTTCCATCTTTATTGTGGCCAGTAACAGGATTTTATTTATTTATTTTTTATAGCTGAAGAGGATTCCATTATATTTACCATACCATATATTCTTTATCCATTCATCACTTGATGGACCCTTAGGTCATTTTCATTTCTTGCCTATTGTACATAATGCTGCAGTGAACGTGGGCATGCAGAAGAGCTCATTGACTTATTTGTTCATTTATTTATTTA